AGTTGGAGGGCCAGCCCTGCCGCGATATCGATCTCGCTCAGCACCCATGACATCATGTCTGTCCAACAGCTCATCTCCAATCTGCGATAATACTGCATCCCAGGCTGGCGCCAAGGTGGTGGCGTCGGTAGCTGCCTCAACGAGCTGCTGTGCATGGTCCCATTCCATCACAGGCGGGTAACGATCACGCCCTGGCTTCAAGATCGTGTCAACTGTGGCAGGCTGTACGGGCGCTCGTATCCACATGACATGCTCAGCTTCATGTAGTGGGACCCGTACTGGAAGATGGGGAAACAGGTCAGAGTCCTCGTGTGCAATTGGTCGCCACATGCTACTTTGGGATGTAGGCACATGTAGTCTAGCATGCTTCCAGGCTTAGGTTGCAGGCAAGTCGGGCAATTCGGGTGGACATCTATGCCTCCAATGGAGTTGAACCAATGGCGTAGATCATCGATTGGCATGTTCCAGTCCTCAGCAATAAGCCACGGCTGACCTCTTGCTCCTAACTCGCATACGTAAGCTGCCACTTGCCTGAGGATCGCTACGTTGGATTCTGGTAGTCCCTGGCTGTCGTGCAGGTAAATGGAAGTCATGTCGATTCCAAGCTTGATGCCCCAGTGTACGTGCGCTGCTAGTGCTCGTCCGGGGACTATTTCTGCCGTCGTTCTTCCTGAGCCAAGGGTAATTCGTACTCGAGATGGTGCTAGAATAGCCATGCCGCCATGCGTGCCTCCATTGACTGACTGGGGTGCATGAGCCCATAGTCCTGAAAAAACCTACTCGAACAGCTTGATGCTGCACATCCGCAAGTCGAGCTTGATCTGCATGATGCCCTCGGATGCATATTACACAGGATTGGGCCCATGGTAACTTCAGCATGTCGATGAGCGGTCCATGAGAGGATACATTTGCCGTCACGACTGAGTTCACCGAGTTGCCGTTCGACGGTTCCGGCGTCCCTGGCGTCGTCTGCTCACGATATGAGGTCGGCGGCATCGTAGTAGTTGCTGCGCTTGCTGGACGGACATTCATGGTGCAGGCCGCAACCATGACTAGCAGCAAATACCTGCAGCTGAGGCCCTTGACAGATCTCGGACCTCGGAGCTGGCGTGTCCAGCTGTCTTCTGTTCCCCAAGTCCTCAGATCCCGAGGTGCTGCGACCATCTGAGGCTGGGTCGCTTGGGCGTTCGACGCAAGAATCCCAAACACCAGGGTCCCTATTGGCCTCGCGGGGCCTGATCGGGCGAAGAGAACTATGCACATGCACTGATCCTGGCAAGGCCCATCCTTGACCCAGGATCGGTGCATATGCCTTCCTGGCCAAGGTAGGAGGGCGTATGCACCGATCCTGGGCTCAGGATGGGCCTGGCCAGAATCGGTGCATGTGCATAGTTCTCTTCCCTCTACCTGAGATCAGGGCGCCCAAGATCACCCTCGGAACATGATCTGGCATTTGGCCTGCATCTAATATTAGACTGCCCATTGTCTGAGTGCCCAGTGGCGTAGATGGTCAGCATCTTGCAGAAGTGCCTGGTGCTGGTCGAAAAGAGACGGAGCCAATGATGGCCGCGCCGAGAGTGCACGCGTCGTTCCCACAAACAGCATGTGC